ATATCTTCATACCTGTTGTGAGCAGGATATCATTATTAGGACTTTGGTGTGTTGCTCTTGTTGTCTGCAGGAAAGTATAATAACTTGAGCAATGACAATTAGTTCCAGACTCCAGACTCGCCTTAAATGTCTCTGTGACAGAGAAATACCTGTCTTGCAGAGCTGATAATGGAGGCCTGTTTGCAGGCTATACACCTTTTCTTTTCCTATTTTTCCCCTTTTTGTAAATTAAAACAGCCAATTTTCTGAAGCAAGTAGTGATTTTTTGTTTACACTCTACCATGGTTTCTCCCAAAAAAAAAAAAAAAAAAAATGGTGAGAACTTTACCCAACACCCTCTGATGACTTCAGCTCATTGCTAAGCATTCGCTAATTAGGATCATGCTGTATAGGTTGCTTCTCCAAAGATTACTCTGACCATTTCCTAATTTTATATTGTTGTTAGGTTCAATACAAGATTATGTTCTTCTTGAAAAGCTGAATAAGCTGACAATTACAAAGTACAGTGAAATGTCAGACACTGCAAAGACACTTATCTCAGTCATGGAGGAATTAGACAAGAAATGTAAGTTCTTCACTGCAAAAATCTCTAACTTTTTCATGACTTAGCTGTGATAAAAATAAAATAGACTGTAAGCAAATTAAATTTGCACAGGGGGTAATCCATTCATTGATATCTTTTCCATTTTTACATTATGGTCTAAACTAAAAAAGATAAACAAATTATTGATTGATGTTCCCTGCCTTTTCCCTGATTTTTTCCTAACCTGTGGCAACTTTGTGTAACAAATATGTTGTTGTAAGAGAGGAAAAAGAACTTCTAACAACAAAATAAAATGATTTATGAAATTTCCTTTTAAGATAAAAACCTGGAACCATATTTAGAGCAGATCGACAAGGTAGAGGAAAGTGTTGCAAGCCTCGAACAAGCCGCGTACAGACTGGATGCTTACTCTAAGAGACTAGGTGAGGAAGAATGTTAAATTATAGTGGTTGATACGAAAGCAGTTTCCAGTTCAATAACAAATTAAAGTGATCCTGGATTGATTTATTTTTGCTTTGCTTTGCTTTGTGATTGGTCTTCAAAATTCACACCACCATCTCCACCAATCAAATGCAAAAATAAAACTAATCTCAATTTGGTCACCACATTTTCATGCACCTCAGGCAGGTTATCTGTTTTTAAACTGTGATTTCTTATTGGTTAATAAGAGAAGCTGTGTTCTGATTGGTAGATGTAATAACTTTGAAGTTGGTTTTTCAACACTCAGTTGAAAACTGCTCTATGGGCAAGTAAGACTTTGTTGTTTATTACATGAAGGTTTAAACTCTTTCCCTGGCAATATCTCACCACTAACTCTTGTTACAGTCTTCCATAAGTTTGTGATGTTAGTTTAGAGAATTTGGTCTAGGATCAACTTATAATCCCCCGATTGACATTCTTCTTTAATCTCATCATATGTTTGCTTGAAAAATATTTCGATACTGTAAAGAATTCTGTCCTGATCACTCATGGGACAAGGGTAAAATCGTCTAATTGTTGGGTAGAAACACACAGAATTTTCCCCAACAAGGGGAAGACCCTCCTCAGTTGCAAGTAGGAAATATGAATTGGGAAGGGGATGCGATGTTTTGGTATTTGTGGGTCCAAGAGCATGGGAAAAAAAGAAGCCTGCTACAAGGTCGTGGGAAGTGGTGTTGACCGAAAAAATGGGAATTCCATTGTTAGTTTGCCAAAATTGTTAATCATTCCCTGCCACTGGTCTGAATATGGAGTGAATGATGAATGTAATGGCCCTTATAATCTTTTTCCCATTTGTTTCCAGAGGCTAAATTCAAGAAGTTGGAAAGAAGGTGAACGGAAATTTGAATGTTCTTCAGGATAAAGAGTTAGAATTTAGTCACGAAAACAAGATTACTCCAGACAATTTCTACAAGAAAAGAGGTAACCTGACATGGGTGAATTGATAGAGGACTGGGTACCAGAAAAATGTTTAACATTTCATTGTGACTAGACAATATTTATAATTATGAAGTAACTGAGAGAGTAAAAGAGTAAAAGCACACTGATTGGCCACAGACGTATTATTTATGGCTCTAGTAAAGCCATGGAATATTGAAGTTTATTTTATAAAAGCAATAGACTGCACTCTCTATTGGTTTACCATGTAATAACCCTCAAGGGATGTTGGAAGCTCACTCAATGTGGAACACCCAACATACCAAGTGGTTTACTATGCCAGTGAACCGATTAGAGTGCAGTCTATTACTTAAAGAATCAGTACACTGTCATGAAGACAGGTTAGGAGAATATGACAAGTTTTTAGTTAAAAGGATATGGTGGGGAGATGCCTTAGTGGAGTGTAGATGCACAGTTTTGTACAAATGGCGCCCTTAATATACTCTTGGGAAAATGGGAGAGAAAACCTGTTGAGTAAATACACAGAAGAAAAATTTCAATATCTGATCTCTCTAGGTAGCTTAAATTTTTCCAAACATTGTCAAAAGTGGGATGGCAAAACAAACCTTGTAGCCTCCCTTTCAAGCACCAAAATTCAAAGTCCTACCGTTCTTATTACACAGCTAAGAACTTAAGTTGCTATCTCATCTACGTCATTATCTAAGAAAATGCACACCCACCCCTCCCCTAACCCAACAACAGTCGACTGACAACAAGTTAGGGTTGATGTTGAGTTGGGGGGGGGGGGG